GAGCCGAACCGGCCAAGTCTTCGCTTCACTTCACTGTCCTCGAAAGCGTTTTGGTTGCGAGGTGCGGGTCAAGTGCGGTGTCTCAACCCGCAACGTCAAGGCAAAAGGGATGATGGCCAGGCACAAAGAGTGAATGACCCAGAGCATGCCAGCCATGCTCGGAAGCCTGCATGCGACCAACCAAGGAGACAGGCTGGCTGTCTAAGTGTTCGTTTCTTCTCAACTGGATGTCATTGCGAAGGCTGCTTCGGAGTCAAACTCAAAAACAGCCCAAGCGCCGCGTCATGAGTTGTGCCATCAGCTGACTCGCGCAAGTCCAAGTCATGGCTTAGTGGAAACGACAGCTAACTCAGCCAACAGTTGTGTTGAAACTGCCTGGAGGATCCCAGTCTTTGGCCCCAAATACTCCGACGAGTATGAACCATGAAGCATCATGAATACTCTGTGCTCAGCTGTGCCAAGAAGACTCATTGTTGACCCCATTCTGTTTGGAAGAACATCAGAGAACACCACTTACACAAGTCCACCACTTAAACAGTTGCGCACAACCCTCTCAAGCCACTTTGTCAGGACTCAATTCCCAGGGCCACTAGTCCAAAAAAAACATGTCTTGCGATGTTCGGCTTCATTTCACCCGAAACAGCCAGGTATCGAAAAAAGGGTCGACACACCACCAGTCTGGCACCATCTGGCACGGATCCCCGCACTCGGCCGGGTCAAACGGGCTCCTGTAGCTTGCCTGGACCTCTCTTCAGGCAACGTGGTCCGCTCCTCCCACGGGATGCCGATCGCACGAGCCCGAGTGTGTGAGTTGCGAAGGGGAAGACCTGAACGTGGGGACGACTCGAACGCAGGCATGGTGTGTATCCTCAAGATGGGTAGTGTTAACTGGATTTAGTAGATTGGAAACATGCTCAGGCAACGCCTCTCCCGGCTTTGTCGCAAACCGAGCGACGCAAACGATCTCCTCAACAACAGGCCCGCGAGTCGTAACGCTGGGCCGTCTCTCTCACAAACATACGCGTGGTTGAGTTCACACGTGCAGAAAGGAGAGCTAAACTCTGACCAGGGCAAACGCAAACAAACGACTAAGACTTAGCTTCAGCACCAATCAAAGTGGTTCCCATTGCAACTGACAATGAAGAACACTATTCATAGACACTGCATGTGTATAAAGATATAATCCCTACAAGTCAATGACCTCATTTGACTGAAGTTGGTCATGCAAAAACACTACTCAAGGAGGTAAAGGACCAGGTTTTACTGGGTCTTTGGGCTGTTAGGGAATATATATATATATATTCCTTAAACTCTCAGGATCATGCTTGACATATTACAAAACGTGCCGTGAAACCGCCAAGTTACCCAGTGATTGAAATGCATTTCAGATCGAAGGGCTAATATTACAGCAGCTGGTTTGTCTACAACTGCGTTTCATGTACTGTTGCAGGGCACACTTCGACAACTGTAATTACATCCGCACTGGTGTGCCAAACTTGCCGCCTCGAACTCCATACCACTGCCGACCGAGCCGCTTCCACTGTACAATGCTAATGCCCAAATATCATCAGAATGAAAAAACATACATATATTTAAACACATTAAAGATATAGTATATACAATGTAAGTAAAATATACACCCCGACAAATTGAAGCCACGTTTGCTGTAGGTGATGCTATCCATTCCTTCACGCTGCCGCGACGCCTTGCGCGAAGAGCAGCCATGACTCACCGCTTTTCAGGCCCAGGTGGTTGAAGCCACCGTTGCACTTCACGCCCGAAGGCGCTCAGCCGGGTGTGACCAGCGCTGTGAATCCCAGCCCTGAACAACATGGCAATGCACAGTGCTCCCGGAACAGGATGCCCCTGTGGCACCATGATGCACCATGCATGCTCACGGCCTCTAATGTGCCGGTGGGCATGAGTGCACAGGCAGGCGTCCAAGTTTGGAACGCCTTTCTCCTCGGCGTGTGTGGCGCAAGGATCTGTAGTGTGCAAAGGGGAGGACGTCCAACTTAAAGAGCAGTGCCAAAGTCCCAAAGGCCCTCCCAAAGGCTTGGAGGCTTGGAGGCACAAAAAGGGCCTCTCCCTCATCCTCCCTCTCTACTACTATATCCATGGCCTCATTCTTGGTGAAGGTGTCAAATCATGGCTTTTCAGTGTTCCAGTTTCTCATGTGGACCGGTATTTTTACTGATTCAATTTCAATGCTCTATCCACTTCACAGTGCCTTCGGGCGCCGGATCAAATGTCCAGTTGGAAACACACGTCCTCCAATCAATTATGGTTCAGAACCCGCGGAATTGCACTGCAGGGGTGGGAAACTCACCTCCCAACCCCTCTATACAAAGAAACCAGGCACAAAACCGCAGGAAGCCAAGTCAAACAATGGAACCGGTTTTGTGACATCTGAGGCAGGCCAAACAATGGAATCATGGCATCAGTAAAACAACCCTTTGCGGTGTACAAGTACCCTTAGAACGACAAACTATATATATATACTTGGCACTGGCAAGGGAAGCTCCTTGTTCCCAAAAGAAGGATCTTTCTACTTTCTACTTCGCGTTTGACTTTCCAATGCTTTCCGGTACGTGTATATATATATGTGTGTGTGTGCGCGAATAGTTGAGTCACAGCAAAAATTTAGGGAGGGGTTGGTTTCTGTCTTGTTTGGTGTGCAATTGGGACAATTCCTGCATGTTGCATGCACTAATGAGACAGACCTAAGATGCAATAGTTAGGCTGGGAGGCTTTCTGCACATTAAGTCAAAAATGGTTAAAGTTAAAGGTTTAAAGCCCATAAGTAACGTGTTTCCCACATGACTCAAGATGAACCCCCACATAAGATCTTCATGTCAACATCTTTACCGATCCATGATGCTGCCATTCCCCACAGCAAACAGGCATACATGTGCCACTTGTGCTGTCCTGAGTTAGCCACCACACACTGCTTCATTGAAGGGGTATACTCTACATGGTCCGACCGCTATAGAGCCTATATAAATACATACGTGCCCCCCGTTGCCACATCTGAGACACGGGAGCATGCTTTGAGGAGAAGCCTTTGCCAACCAGTGTGGCTTCAGCAATTAGACAACTCTGACACACACACACACACACACAAAACATACCTTTAAACAACACACACTCCGCATTTCCAAACAACTCAAGAAACCATTCAATTTGGTCAGTGTTTGGGCCAAACTGTTTGGGGTGCGTTGCTGTGCTGATCTTCTTTGGGTCGCTCTGTACTCAGTCTGTGCGACGAATTTATCCTAAATTTATATCTGTGTGCGCGTCTGGCCTAATTATGCTTTCTTGCGTGTAATCTTTCTCTGTTGATGGCGCAGTATTTCTGCTCCCCTGTTTCTTGCCAACATCGGCCTGTGACACATCACATCAGCACTGGTTGTTTGACCCTCGTGGCTCGATGTCGTGGCGATCTCATCGCGCTCCGAATCTCTGAACCCGTTTCCAACGGCCGAAAACTGTTTGGACACAGATTCAGTCGTACCGAACCTGAGAAGGTGGGACTGGGGTGGGTGCCAGGAGGGTCCGTCCAGTCATGCCTTCTGTGCAGGTACTTGGCGATGTTGATAATAGAAATATCTTTGGATTCGGCTGCGAAATATGTCCGTCAAATCGGTTGGACACAGATTTTGGCACCCAACTATGCTTGATCAATCTCCACGGAAGTTGATCCATCAACTGTCAATATATGTCAATGATGCAACAGGGTTCGCGCATGTTTTTGAACGACATAATGACAGGTCAGGTTCGGTCCCCTTGATTGAAACTTACGCCGCCTGTATTTGTTCACAGCTTTCGCTTACTCAAATCCATCTTGAACTAAAGAGCCACCTGAAGCACTCCCTCGGACCCCACACTTATCCACTGTTTGGTCTCAGACTTGGATGTATCCATCTGCAGACTGAATTGAAAAAAAAACAAACAGTGTCCATCAAATCCATCCACTACAACTGAACTGGGTCCAAAGATCCGGAAAAGAACATCACCCCCAAGGTGATTCCATGAAAGGTGGCCATTCCCAAATGGCACGCCAAAGGCCTCAGCGCTCGACCCTGGAACCCCTCCAGCTCAGTGAAGGGCGTCAAGAAACTCTGCAGAATCCTCAGCTGAAAGCATTACTTAAAGCCCGCTCTGCCCTCCAACCTCATAGCGATGGCCTCCAACCTAGAAGCGCATCAAGACCACCGACACACGGAAGATCCTGGAACAATCCGTTTCTCCACACACGGAAGATCCTGGAACAATCCTTCTCCACAATGTCTGAAATTGACATCACACCTTTCTTTCCATCGTGATGTGGGAAAAAAGTGATCAAGACAGGGAGCACAAGACGCAATGTTTGTTTCACACATCTGTGTTCCACACATAGTGGGAGAACGCAGAGCTCAAATTGTGGGTGTTGGTGTTGGTGTTGCTCTTCTTATTGTTGCTGGTGCTTCTGAAGAAAGGCACCCTATGTATATCACAATATGGCACGATACATATATACAGTATCGCTCTTGCTCCTTTTCGGCTGGGTCGCTCGACCTGTCTTTCATCGTTCGTGTCCCTCTCCTTGGGCCTGGAGTCTGAAAGAGCAAGAGCCCAGCGCTCAAATGGCGCCCGATGGAACGATACAGTGCGTTGGGCAGAAAGAGCAAGCAAATGAGGCAAAGCGAGGCAACCACTGTTGACCTTGGATCAAAGTCATGTGTTTCTGCGGGCGACATGCGAATGATGGAAGATCATATACCCACTCACCACAAAACTATCAAAGGCCCCTTGGTTCCGTTGGTTCCGTGGACATTGGAAACACATCAAGTATCTGGAGGGGTTTGTCCATCAACAGTAGGTGCACCCTCAGGTATGTGCGGACACCATGGTCAAGATGCAAACTCTTGATTAATAAACCCATCCCAATTGGATGCACTCACTTGCGGGCTGGTCGCAACCACACGGGCCCTTGTTGTGTTGTACGATGGGTTTCGGTGGTAGTGTCGGTGTGTGAGAAACCAAAAAAAAATAAGAATCTGTACACTAGAACGAGAGTCGTGAAACCGAACGTAATCTGCTTGGGCTTGCAACATAAAAGGCAGTTTCAAGATCTAAGGAAGTTTCACACACGGCTAGACAAAAAGAAGAATGGGGAAGCATACCTCATGAATTACTAATTCAATTGTTTAATTCGGTAGCCCGCTCGGATGGGCAATCGCATCAAGATCTTTATTACGAAATAATGCATAGCGGACATGCTGTATGAACGCATCGGCTTTGGACCGGTTGACTTCTGGCCAGTTGGGCCATGGTGGTGGTGTCGGGTTCTGTGGCAGCGGGGGAATCAAAATGTCCGTATGAAATGGAGGGTCATGAGGCATGGTTTTTAGCATGTCATGGATAATGCCATATGTGCTCTCCGCGTTGGGCAACTCTGGTCTGCGAGAAACACCCCCTTCATGGTCATTGGTGAACCCTAGCCGAGTCAGGCTGGATGTGCCCTGTTTGTTATACACAGGTATAACTTTGCTCCTGGAAAACGTCTGCAATCCATCTAAAATTTTCGGCAAGGACACGAATGTACCCCGATTTAACTCTTCCTATAGGGGGGGTTTATTAACCAAGAGGCTCCATTACATTACAACCTCGTGAACAAAGACAACGCGCCCTTTCTTCGAACACAAATGCCTGAAGTCGTGTCGACATGTTCGATGTTCTCACCGAACGGACTCCCCCTCTCGCATCTCGCGAGAAGTGGAAAATTCAGGCTCAAGGCATTCTGTTCATGCTCTTGGCACGGTAGTACTCGGCACGCATCTTTTCAGTGCTCCAGCCTTTGTTGGCGTTTTGCCGCTGGAACCTGTTCCATGGATTGGTCGGCTCCTCATTGATCCTCTGGATCGGCCGGACCGTTGGTGAGGCCTTTGATTTGGCCATCAACGCACACTGAAGCATGGTAGTCGCTGCTTCAGCGTTCACAGCAGCTAAATTCGCTGCAGCGGCCGCCTGGTGTGCGCTTTCAGCAGCACGCTCAGCTCCTTCAGCTGCCTGGCTGGCAGCTTGCACAGCATCATCAGCAGCCTCGCTGGCTGCTTGCAACTCGACAGAGTTGCTTTCACTTGATCTCCTCCTCATCGACCATGATGATGTGCCGTGCAGCGAGCCCGATCGCCGCCTTGATGTCTGGGACATAGACCTTCTCCCTGTCATAGAAGTCCCTTCTCGATCATCGCGATCATCGCCATCACTTGGCCTTGCCGCTCGCCTTCTTCGGATGGCTTGAGCTTCCCCCTCCGTCTCTTCCTCCGTCTCGGTGGCTTCAACCCCATTCGTGCCCTGGTCTGCCCTCCCCCACGAACGTGCCCGCCTGGATCGCGAGGAAGTAGTATGGGCCCCTTCATCAGCTTCAGGCAGGTCCGATGAACTGGGTGGCTCACAAGTGACTCCATGCAATCGGCGTAGGCAACAACCAAAAGAACTTACGGCCGCCTTCGCCACCCAGATTGCCCCAATGAGCACTAGCACTATGCCACACAACATCAAACTTCCAAAAACTGCATCGGAGTCCTGACTTCCTCCAGCTTCAGCTGCACGAACCAGGGCGCTTCCAGCCACGATTGCTCTCACAGCTAACTGGTGGTCTGGTACAGGAGGAGCGTTTTGACCAAGCTTCAGGCTGGCCACTTTCACTTCAGGAGGCTTCAAACCCAAATCACCAAAAAAAACCTGCGAAACTCTGGCCAAGAAGCGGCTTCGTCATGCCGTCGGCCACAAGCTCAGTGCCACGAAGATGGGCCAGCTTCCAACAGCCACCTGGATACGAGCCCTGCTCATCAAGCGCCTCCTTCAGGATGTTGGACCTCACACGCAAATGCCGGGTCCTCCAGGATGTAGCACTATTGCCGTAAGCGAGGCTGATGGCTGCGGCATTGTCACCATAGATGACCCGCTCGAAGACATTCGAATTGTCCAGCGGCTCCCCCCACATGGCGCACAGCAAGGCTTCCGTTGCACGACCTGTGCATAGAGCTTCACAGTAGGAAACCAACTCTGCTTCAGCTGTGCTGTGGGTCACAAACGGTTGGGTGGCACTTTGCCATGCCACAGGAGCTCCAGCGAAACAAATCACTAGCCCTTGCACGCTTCGGTGATTGGAGCCAGTGCCGTACGCTATGTCGGCGAACACCTCCAGTAGGCCTTCATGCCGTTGGATCTTGAGCTGATCCCTTGACCCCCATTTCTTCTTGATCTTCTGGGGATAGTGCAAATCGCCAGGAGTGCCCTTCACATAGGCGAGCAAGGACTGGCCGATTTCGATGGCCTTTGCAGGATTGCGAGTCACCAACCGACTGAGGGCCGCCACACCATAGGCCAAATCTGGCCGTGACCTGGTCGAAAGCCACAAAAGGGACCCTGCAAGAGCTTGTGCTTCGCGAATCTGCACCTTGTCCACTGAATCTGGCGGTTCCATGTCGGTCTCACTGACCTTGAAATTCGGGAAGGTTGAGGCTTCCTTGACATTCCAGCGTGTGAGGATCTCCTGCTCGTACTTCTGCTGTGACAAATGAAAACCATCACCATGCTCATCGGCAGAGATCTCAAAGCCGCAGAAGTGGACAGGAGAGGTAGGTGTTGCCTTTTCTACGCTGGATGTAGTCCAAGTGGCCTGCAAAGATGTCAGGGCTGCTGAGACTGCACTGTCTTCGCCGCTGATGAGGATGTCATCAACATAGACAGACATCAAACCTGTCCAATGATTCTCACCAGTCTCCGTGTCAGCCTCCTCCAACCGCCACAAATTCTCATCAGCTGTTTTGACGAAGTAGCCCCTGACATTTCGCCCTTCTCTTTCCCGCACCCAGCTGACCATTGGAAGAGTGCGGTCTCTGTACTGCGACCAGTCTCTTGGAGACGTTGTGAGGCCGTACATGGCTAATTTGACCAGCCACACTTCACCTTCTCGGGCGAGGCCAAGGCGCTTGTAGACACTGGGGATCTCCATTGCCACCATCTTTCCATCCTCCCTTCTTGGAGCGTTCAAGAAAGCGACTCTGATGTCGGTTGCTGCCAGCGTCCACCCCTTCAAAGCCGAGGTGCGGACCAGAGCTCGCACTTGGCAGCCATCAGCTCCTCCAGCGTAGCAATCTCCACTGAACCTGGATTCGGAGTAATTGCCACAACATACAGCTCTTGCCCGACGTACTCCAGCTCCTGCTTTGCGGGTGTACACCATCTTGGCCGGAAGAAGCTCTATGGTTTTTCCTTGTGCTTCTGCCCGTTGGTGGAGCTCTCGCTTTGTGATTTGCTCCACTGCTTCCTTTGTTTTGACCAGCTGGTTGTACTCGGCAGTGATGGATGGGACCCAATTCTCAAAGTCATCCCAAACCTCCTTGCTGCCGACAGTCCTCGTGACCAGGAACTTCTCCTCCAGCTCTTTGGTCGCAAGTTCATCCACGTCACGATCATTCTGCAGGAGCATTTCTTCCACCTCCACCTTGTACATGATGGCCTCTGACAGGACTTCCAAATAGCAGCCTTGCTCCGGGATGGTGACGTCCAAATGCCCCATTTCTTCAGACACATAGGCAGCCAAGTTTGCCTGCAATGCTTTTAACAGCTTGATCTTATGGTGAGGATGTTCTCCAAGGGTTCCTTTCTGCGGGGTCACCGGGCTTGAGCCACCGCACCGGTTGTTAGGCACCCCCTCCGCATCCCCTCCGCCGAGAAGATCCACCACCGGAAAACCTGAACTGGTCTAAACCCCTTGGATGTCATCCTCACCTGAACTTGAAGAGCTTGTCCTCTCAGGCGTTTCGATCGTCCAGCTGTCACTGCTGACCTCCAAACTGAAGAGGCGAACATCATTTGGCATCATGATCTCAAAGCTGTCACGATGGTCACAAAGCCACCGCTGCCACCAACTTGCAAATTCACGATGGTCACATAGCCAGCGGTGCCACCAACTTGAATTGACCCCACCACCAGTCTCCCCCTCCATGTGGATCATGGAAACTTGTGGTATCGCCGTCTTTTCTCTCAACCGGCGTCGTGGAATTGCGCCATGCCACATCGGCCGAGGAGCGGCATCACCAATCTCCGGAAGGTGCACGATCGCATCAAGGTTGATCGGCCGAAGGGATCACCACATCATCAGTGTAGAAGTAGCGATGCGAGGTCACCGACTGGACATAGTAGCTGGTAGTAGTCAATGAGGATTGAACTGCAGGACCCAAAATGACCACCTCATCACGAACTTCACGCCACGGCTGGTAGCGCTCCTGCCATGACTTCTTCAGAGCAAAGGCTTTTGCCCCAAACTTCAGCAACGGGCCAGAAGGAAAGCCCAGACTTCGCAACTGACCACGAAGTCTGCGTTCGCCAATGTGGATGGCGGCTAGTGGCCATTTGTCCAAGCCCACTTCCGTGGCCGCAACCACCGTGCGGATGTGCTTCTTGACCACACCCAACTCTCCCTCCACCCTGCCATTCGTCTTGAAAGATCCCCCTGTTGTGAGGGTTGTCACGATGCCCCGGTCCAGCGTCCAGCGGCGTACCGGAGCGGAGATCAGTTCCCGGGCCCTGTCACTGTGAAGCCTGTAAATTGGAAGGCCTAGGCTTCGGAGCCTCGCGTAGATGCGAGCCAAGGCTTGAAGGATGTTGTTCACAGCGCGGCCATTGAGCACCTCCACAAAGGTCAAATT